CACTGGTAGTGAGTGTGTTAGCTGGTGTTTACTGTGAAGCTCTGCTCTCCCACAGTAGGACAAGATCCTGAAGCTGACCTCGGGTGCAAAGTTAGGTGCGCGCTGCTGTCCTTACCACGATCCCCCGGTGGAGCCGTGCTCCAGAGATGGGCAGCAGTGAGTCTGCGGGTGCCTTCCCAAGGTGACAGAGCTCGCCCTCCCTCCCTCCCTCCCGTCTGCAGTCAGGGGATGTGAAGGCAACCATTGCTGTCCTCGGCTTCATCCTCTCCAGTGCAGCCAAGCACAGTATAGACAGTGAGTCTCTGTCAAGTGAGCTGCAGCAGGGCAAATCCCAGCAGGTTTATATCCTCAGAGGAGCTGCAGCTGTTTGGCTTCTCTGACTAAATTCAAGGTGAGCAAAGGGGTTGATGAAGGAGCAAACTCTTCAAGGAAGTTACAGCACTTTGTTTCTTGCTGCAACTACACTAAGTGAAAGGGCAAAGAACTGCTAAGAAATATGGTTTGTGTTTTGGCAGCATAGTTGGATAATTGTTGGATAACAATTGGCAGAGAAGTTGGATAATTTGTTTTTAACTTGCATAATTATTTCCTAGTGATTATTCCATAGTTCTCCACATGTGACTAAGCAGGGGGGAGAAGAATAGCAATATGAATAATGTAACTCCCATTGGAACCTTTAATTAGAGCTATATATATTATAAACAAAAATAAGAAAAAGAAATAGACTCCTGGGCAGTGTAAGGGTTACATGTGTGCTGGGCCCACATGCTGGTGTGACATTTGGTACTGGGACATGGGTAGGAGCACCCTGAAATGTAGATTTAAACCCTTAAAATGCTGAAAAAGAAGAAGCTTTCCTCAATTAAACCCATTAAATTGAGGGAAAACGGGGGATTACCTCCACTTAAACTGATACAATGGCAAGTAAACGTCTTCTTCCCTTTAATTTAATCCCCTAAACTACTGGAGAAAGGTGGGGTTTTCCCACTTTAAATATCTCTGGTGATGGGGAAAGGAGGATTTTCCCTCAGTTCAAACCCTTTAAAAGGAGGGACAACTGGCCTTCCCCCTCAAATTAAACCTTAGGATGATGAAAAGGGGGGGTTACCCTTAATTCAAGCCCTTAAAATAGCATCATCAAGGTTATTGCCTTCCATTTAACCTGGAAAATAATGGAAAATGAGGGTTCCCTGTCGATTAATACCCCCAGCACCATGGAAATAGCAGGGTTTCCTTTAATTTAATCCATTAAAATTGCAGGGGAAGCAGATTCCTCTTCAATTTAGACACAGACAGTTACAAAAAGGAAGCCTTTTCCCTTATTTTGAACTCCTTTTCTCCTAATAGCCCCTCTCTTTTCTGGGGGCTCTGGGGGGGACTGACCAGAAGAAAGGGGGAAGTACATGGCCTCTTGTCTGCCCCTGAAGCACCAGGGTGCTGGGCTTTTCTTTCCGTGGCAAAGAACCAGCCTTCTCATCCAAGTGCCCATGGCCAAAATTGGGATTCTGCCTCTGAAATTCTGTACATCCTAGCTTTGTAATTACCAAGGAAATTCTCCATAGACCATAAGTGATTACTGGTAATTTTTCGTCGGTAATCTGTTGCGGTGTGATGTCATGATTTGCCTGTTTCCCCTGGGTTCTCCCTGAAATCTCCTTCCCCAGGTGGGTTGTCAATCACCATTCCTTTCCCCACCATTGACCCCTGCTGGGCACTGTCTATCAACCCAGAGATTCCAAGGGGAGCGTCGAGCAATTGGCAGGTTCAAAGGATGCTCTCCAGCCCCTGGGGGGCCACTGGCCCACCCAGGTGTCCCTCTCACCTGAGACCCGCTCGCCCTGTGCCTGGTTGGTGCTCCCTGGGTCCCCTCCCCTGCCCCTCTGCCCAGGTGAAAGGGCGAGCAGACCACGAGGCCGGGGTTCTGGTGGAAGAAGTCTGTTAGAGAGTTCATGGGAATTATTGCAAGATTCAGAGACTGTGCCATGGAAATAAAAACTCTGGATTAAAAACTCTGCATCGGGACTCGCTCCTTTCTTCACCTCGCTGTAAAGCTCAGGAAGGCCTGAGGAGTGACCCCCTCAAAGCAAGCTCCAGCCCGCAAGCACTGGAGCTCGGGGCATGCCTGGACTTGTCTCCACGTGCTCAGCTGCAAGCACAGGCACTGAATAGCGTCTCTGGGGAGAAAACACCACAGGTGCCGCTATTCGGTCAGCAACCGAGACCAGACAGACCAAGACAGTCCCGTCAGTAATACTGGTACACTCCAATAGTAATCATTACTGACCTGTGTTTCTGTTGAAGCGTTTGACACGTCTCTTGAGGGGTCATGGGTTTGGCTGTGTTGTTTATGGCTAATCCTGATGAACCTGAGCACCCCCATCGCTGCTGTGCCCTGAATTTCAGTGAAATATATAAATGCTCCCTTTGCCTGCTCCGCAGTCTTTCTCTGTGCATCTTCAGGGAACAGATTTACTCCATCCTTTGATCCCAACCGCAGCTCTCCGGCCCAAATGCCAATTCTCACAGACACAAACTAAGCAGACAGCTACTGCAAGTGTTTGCCTTTAAAGTAAAATTCTTATTGCACCTGGCTGTACAATTAGAATAAATACATGTCTTGATGGTCATCAGAGGAAAGCTTTTCAGACGAGAAAATATCCATTTTTGTAGCACAGATTCAATTTTGACAATATTGCATTCTTTTGAGTTTGGGAATCCTGACCATATAAGAGATCTGAAAGTTGGTATTTTGCAGTTTGATATTTTGAAATGGGGTCATTCTGATATTTTGGAACTTGGTATTCTGGTATTTTCAATTGAATTATTTTGGTCTTTTGGAGCTTGATATTCTAGTGTTTTCAAACTGTGTTATTTTGATATTTCTGAACTTGCTGTTCTGGTATTTTGAAATTGGGTTACTTTTGTATTTTGGAACTTGGGTTAGGTTAAAATTCTGGTATTTTAAATCGGTGATTTTCAAACCTGGTTTTCTTTGATATTTTGGAATTTGGTTTTCTATTATTTTGAAACTAGGGCTCAAAACTGGGGTTTTGAACAAAAATACACTAGGGTTGTATTTTCGAACCTAGTTTTTTGTAGGGGGAATTTATGGCATTTTTGTACTTGAGTTTCTAGTACTTTTGTAACCTGTTTTTTTCATTTGGCAACCTGTGATTGGCAGGGGTTTGGGGCATCCTAGTTGAGTGTCCTGGCTTCATTTGCCTTCTTCCATCACAATTAACCTCACACGGGAACTGTTAAATCACAGACTATACAATAAGATGCTTCCTGAAACAGAAATAAATTCTAGCTGCAACAAGAAAACCAAGAAAAGACCATACAGGAAGTAACTCCATTTTAATAGTCTCCAAATCTCCAACATGTGAAAGGAAAAATAATAGAGTAAGTGTAGCAGTATACAGCCATTACCAATAGAAGCAGTGTTAGTCAGCTTCTCAACGTTGCTTTTAAGTATTTTATGGGGAAAACATTTGGCCTACAACTTCTTATGCATAAGTTGTTGGGGGTTATAGGAGATGGAACCTGACCCTTACTAAATTGCATGAGAACCACAGCTTAAGTTACTCGATGTCTTCTGGTCTCACAGGATGAGGCAGAGGTATAACTGACTTCTTTTCTGTATCTCTGGAAAGAGCTTTTCTCATATCTATAGCAACAAGAAAAAATGTTATTACAGTACTGCAGTCATTGTACAAAGCCATATTAAGTGAATTCTCCATTAAAATAAGATAATTTTTAATCAAGAAAATTTCCTAGAATCATAAGACTACCTCAAGTTCAAAAGGACCCATAAGGATGCAACTCCCTGCTCCACACAGTAATACCTAAAATTATACCGTATGATTAGGAGCATTGTGCAGATATTCCTTGAACTCTGATGGGCTTGGTGTCATGACTCTTTCCCTGGAGAGACCACTGCAGTAACCAACCACCCTCAGTGAAGAGCCTTCTGACGTTCAGTCTGAAAATTCCCTGACACAGCTTTGCTTCATCTCCTCAGTTCCTGTCACTCGTCACTGGAGGGAGGAGATCAAGACCCCCCTCTGCTGTCCTTGGAAGTTATAGACTGTGACAAGGGCATGCATCAGCTTTCTCTTCTCAAAGTGGCACAAAGTCATGGACATCAGCTGCTCCTCCTAAATCTTGCTCTTGAGGCTCTCACCATCTTGGTTGCTCTCCTCAGGACACACTGCTGTCCTTAATGTTGCTCAATGGCAATAATATCAACTGATACAAAACACTGCATGAAACTCAGCCAAATGGAAAGGAAATGACAAGCTAAAGCGACAAATACATGACTTAAGTCACATGCAGCAATGCTAGGTGTCCATCTGAGCCCCTGTATTTCACAGCACTCCTCTACAGTGCAAGAACAGAAACGATACATAGCCTGGCCACGTAACCCTTTGGAAGGATAATTTAAAAAAGGACCTAGAAAGAGGAAGCACTTGGCAGTTCACTTTTGTTAACACAATTAACATTTACATACTTGAATTTCCATGTTCCTTCCCTTTTAAATTGAAAATGTTACCCAATTCTTTGTCATTGCTGAATGCTGACAATTGTTAATTTACAGGTAGACATCTGAGAAAAACAAAGTTTCAAGTCCCTGTTATGGGATGAAAGGAAGAAAGCACTGACATTCCTTCTCATTTATTCTTGTTCTGTGGTCGATTTTGCCAGAGATGCTACAAAATGTATAAATGGCAAGATTAAGTTTTGTAACTAATATAATCTTAAGTAGGAAAAGTTACAAAAATACAAAAATCCCATTAATCAGCAACTATCTGAAATGGTTATTATAATTGTTTCATGTTTTTTATATGTTTCATATAAAAAAATTGTAACACTCTTACAAACAAGCCCAGGAACCCTCAAGATGAGAATAGTTCCATTCAATTTGAGACCAAACAAGAACTTACCATAAGCATCTTCATCTGGCTCCCCACTGCTAGCTGAGTAGTACTCTAAGACTGTCCGGTATACACTGTAGCCTAGTTGCTTATACATATTTACAGCAACCTGATTTGATACTCTCACAAAGAGATCGACAAAAAATCCACCCTTTCTTTAGCAGGGGAGGAAAAGAAACAAACAAACAAAACCACAGTAAGGAATAGTAGATAAATGTATTTCTAAGTAACAACCCATAAATTGTAATGAAACCAAAGCAAGTCCAATGTAGTATACTAATTAAACATCTTTCCCAATGTAATAACAGATACACTCTTTTACCAAGGGAAAATTCAATCATAGACAGGGATTTAATTTTATTTTTATCACATGGCCACTTTTTACCAGTCAGTAGGTTCAGAAATTTGACCAGAAAGAACAAGACAAATTCCCCCACAGGTCTAAATAAAATTTAAAAAGTATCCACATTTTAGATTGCTTGAATTAGGAGGACTGGAATCAGTCACAAAATTCAGTTGCCTAACAGGAGATGATAGACCCTTCATTCCACAAGGCAAATTTTTCAAAACATCACACTACTTTCCAGTCTTACCAACCATAGCGGGGTTGCCCTACCAGAATCAGTTAAGGACATTTCCCAGTGGGTTCATCTGACACTAAATTAAATTTTCTCAGGTAAAAGTAACCAAGCACGGGATGGCAAGTAAACTAAGATACTCTCCACAGTACAAAATTTGTTCAGGATTGTGCCTGAGGGCATTGCACAAAGCCCACAGTTACTGAACAAGTATTTTGGAGGCCCTACAGGAAACAGTGCTGTCATTTCACAAAGCTCTTTTCCTGTCAAGGAATGTTCTTTTATACAGTATCTCTACTGGAATTCAGCCTATGCCCTCCTCATTCTGGCAAGTTAGCCTTCAGAGAAACCTTGAAATTCTAAACTGCTAAGCAATTTTCATAACTCTTTTTCTTCCAACTATGAGGAATTCCAGAAAATCAGAACACCACATAAAGCAAAATTCCGCCATGTAAAACAGGGACAGGTTTCTGTAGAAATACTACTTTTAAATGTTACTTTAAAAGATAAATTTAAAGACAGTCATACTACTCACTTTTCTGAAATTTCTTCCAGGAGCTCCATCAATTTAGCAGCCAAACCCAGCCGTCGGAATTCTGGTGCAACAGAGAGAGCAGTAACGTGTCCATGCCATTCTTCCCTAGCCACAGAGCCTTCAGCTTTGCCCATGACTGTGAACACACAGAGCATCAGCGCAGCAGCACCTTTGGGGTAACGCACTGCCTGTAGCCAGACAACTTCACAAGAGGAATAAGCCATGGATAAACACACGTTACAGTGGTTGTCATAAAGGCTAAAACAGGGATGTCTACCTTTTCACTCTATGATTCAGCAGCCACTGAAAATGTCATTTTGCTCAAATATTACAGCAGTTTCTTGACTAATGTAAAAAAATACCAAACAAGTTTGCAAATTCCTTGCTTGAGGTGACTTCTAAATGCAAATTTTAAGCAATTCTCACAAGTCTCACCGAACCAAAATTAAAGATCTGACTGAAATAAAGGAGGAACAGAGGACTAGAAACCCAAAATTACCATCCCAGCAACTATTTGAGACTTTTGGAGATTATGGGGGAATACAGCTTGGGAAGCTTAGCCAGTCTGGCAATAGAAATATAAGGCCCTGCCAACACGATGTGTTTAGGGAAAAACAACAACAACAACAAACAAACAAACAAACAAAAAACAAACAAAAAAAAACCAAACAAAACAAAAAAAACCACCAAGAAGCGGAGGTGGGGATGATGTTCTGGGGGGGCTTTCTAGTTTCTCTCCTTTCTACACTGGGCCAATCCACTGTTAGTTTATTAATGAACATTCACACTTCCACCCTGTGCTTTTACAGATATCACAGTCACTGCTAATAAGCAACAAGTGTGGTGGATACAGAGAAATGTTCTATGCAGCACACATACTTTCAGCTTTAGCATGTCAAATACTTTTAGTTCCTGGATCCCTGCAAAAACCATTACTCTGCCCCACCCTGTCTCCTGGCAGTTCTCTTTGGCATGATTTCTGAAAAACACAAATATTCCACAGCAAATTAGCAAATGACATCCAGGCCAGAGCTTTTCCCTCACAGGGCAATGCAAAACGCAAGCCCAGCACTTCTACTGACTGTGGGTAAGGACTTAATATTTCAGATTACAGAAATACCCATTCACCAAATACGTGTGGATGTTACCACAGCCAAGGCTCCTCGCTGCGCTAGGAACATCAAACTGGAAGCTATGGCCATGAGTCCTGCATAATACCCTAAGACATTTAAAAAACGGGAAGATGCAACGCAGGGTTCTCTCTTCCATGCTGGACGCGTTTGGTAAACGCGAAGAGTAAGAAAAGCTCCCGCGTTATAATCCCCGAAATAGGCAACGAAGGGAGACGTTACCGCCGGAACACCCGGCACTCACTGTAACCCATCAGCTCCCCGCCGGGCGCCTCGGCGACGATGAAATACTCGGGCCAGTGGGCGAGGTACTGCAAGTAGAAGGGAATCCCGTACTGGGCGCTCGGTTAAGGAGCAACTGCGGCCGCCACGGCTGCGCCGCCCGCGCCCGACCCCGCGCCCCTGCCCCGGCAGGAAGGATACGGTCTCGGTCAGCGGGTCCAGATTGCTGTGGGGGAAAGAGAGTGCGGCGCTCAGCATGGGCCCGGGCCGGGGCGCGGGCCCGCCCGGCCGGCGGGGCGCCGCGAGGACCCCGCGGGGTGGGGGAGCGCGCAGGGGCTCGGGGGCAGGAAGAGGGACAGCCGGCGCTCACATGTTGTTGAATCGGAAGAGGTCGTCGCAGGTGAAGGCGCGGAGCGTTGTCATGATGCTGGCGACCACGACGCTGACGCCGAGCGTGACGGTGATGACGCTGCCCCGGAAACGCTCGCGCGCCCAAGGGCCACCTTCACCACGGAAAGGCGGCAGACGCGGCGGCCCCGCCCCCTAGCAGCCGTGCCCCGCCCCGCAGAGCCGGCCCGGCCTGCCCGCGCCTGAGGCCTGCCGCAGCGGGCCGTGCTGCCACGGGGCAGGGCTGCGTAGGGGGCGGCCGCGGGAGCCCTGACCGAGAGCAGCGGGCGGGCGGCTGGCACGGCCGAGCCGGCCCGTACTGGCGTGCGGCACGGCGGGGCGGGGCCCCGCGGGGCCGCAGTAGCAGGAGTGCTCTGAGCTTGGGCAGCTCCGCGCCGAGCCCTCACGGGCGACACGTAACGTGACGTGACGGTAGTATGCGAGAGTACCATATGCAGAAAAAACAACTCTGCCTCTGGTAAGGCAGAGGGCACACACTGGAACTGCCGCCGGACGAGGTCGGACACACATTGGAACTGCCGTGCCCAGCACGTGCTCGCCTCATGTGGAATGAATCCCACAGCTGCTTTCAGCACCAAAACATCACTGATCCTGAGCACCCCTCACCACTGCACTGATTTACACACCTCGCTCATCCCATTCTGCAGTCTTTCCACCTTACCCTCTCAGACCATTGGCCCTTCAACTTCGCTTTCAGAGGGCTGCAAGTCAGAATCCATCCTCAAAAAGAACAACATCGATATAATTGGGATGCTGCTGCCATCAGCAGTAGGTGCCTCTTCATGATTTGCCAAAACACAGGGCTGGAGGTCATGCCAGCCAACACGGACCTCTTCCACAAAAATACTGTCCTCAGTAGTGGACTATACTTCACTCACCTGTTGCACAGCATGCAACTTTGCCACAGCACACTTTGCTGTGGCACCCAAAAAAATAAAGAAACAAGATGTCCACTATGCCCATAAGCATTCACCTACTCCACACAACCTGCTGTGCCATTTCTCTCACTTCCATTCAAATGCTGAGCTATTTCTGAAGAAAGTTACCACTGCAAGAGACCCAGATCACTCTAGTTATTCTCAAGGAAGATTTGCCCAAAAGTTGGAGGCTATACTGTGGGTTTGATTTTTGTCCTTGAAAATTCTGCATGACATGCAGTGAATGGAGTTTGGGTACATATTTTGGGACAATGAAAAAGGCCTTTCTTGACCTGGAATCAGGAGATGCTGGCAAGGCTACACCAGACAGAGCACAGCCTGTCAGAGTCGAGATCTGTCAGATTTCTGGTAATTTAAGGGTCAACGTTTTGGTAGGAGAAAGTTGGTTTAAGGTCTGTAAGTTGTGGTGCAACAGTGATGTGGGATTTCAGAGTTGCCAAAAGCAGGAAGAGAGTACACTTTTCAGGATGGTGGTGGAGGTGTGAGGAGGAATATGAAACTTGGGAGAAGGAATAGATGATTTTAAGGCTGGTTCTTGATCCTTTGAGGTGTTAGGAAATGTATAGCTTTATAGCCCTCTCCTGCTTGAGGCACCCCCTCTCTTTTACTGCAGAACCACAAGAATGATATAATGACACACACTTAAGAACAGAAAAAGCTCAGCCATTCACTTGACGGCCGTGACTTAAGGCACTCTCTCCAGCCAAACTGGACCTTGGGCTACTTTGCTGTACTCAAGATAAAGCCTTTGCTTCTGAAGTGCTAAAAAAGGCACTAAAAAGTGCAAAAAGGCACTTTTGTTACTGTGACTGAACTTGGTTCAAAAGCTGGTCATGGCTAGAGTAGTCTTTACTACTACCAAATTAATTCCCAATATTGTAGCCTAAGGCAGTATTTTCTACTCAGTTTGGGTTTTTATTTAAAATTACTAGACATCAATACATAGTTCTGCTAGTATGAAAACTGTGCAGGCCAAATCTTGGGTGGCTATCTCTGCTGAGTGAAGTACAGGTGAAACAACTTTAGGCCTTACTTAAACGTAAGTACAGAGATTATCAAAGACTTCCTCCCCTTCTCAATTACCTTTCACTGTATGTTACAAGTGGAGTATCATTCAGTCTCAGCTAGGATGCGTGGAATGTAAATTAAGAGGCAATTTTTGCACTTCTATGAAGACAAAGAGGATTTCACCCTTCAGAGAACAAGTATTTTCCACAGCTAATTTTATTTTCAATTACACCAAAATCAAGTGTTGACAATTAGTGTCTTAAAAGCTACAAAAGAGGGATTTCAACCCAGAATTGATTCTAAATCTCTTGCTATGTTCAATTACAAGTCACCGTCCAACAGAGACCCTCTCTAAAATGTTTAATGTTAGCAAGTTTCACTCTACATACTCAAGGTATGCTGCATCTCAAGTGTCAGTGGAATTTTGTCTAAGGGACTCATCAATAAATGAAGACATTTGTATATTTAAAATAACCATAATTATGGTATTTCTGGCATCAATTACTTTGAGAAGAAGCAGCTGTTTCTCAGTATAGAGAAGCGATGGCAAATGTGAACAGGAATAATTAGATATATAAGTGTGTGGTATTAAGTGCATGCCTTAAGTAGGAAACCTTGTTTGGTTTGGGGTTTTTTTGGTTTGTTTTTTTTTTTTTTTTTTAAAGTGCTTTGCATGATCCACCATCAAAAGAGGCCTGTATGAAGACCAGTACTAGCATTGTTGATATTACAGGAACAGAAAAGTTAAGCATTCACATAGTCAAGCTCTGATTTGAATATTATATTAAAAAAAAAAAAAAGCCAAGGCCCATACATTTAGACACAGAATTGAAATGTTTCTACACATCTTAAAATACAATCAAATAACATGTTACACTCAGATTATAAGAACCAGCCTAACAATTTATAAAGTGACAAAGCTATTGCTTTACTTCCATAATGTAAACACATCTGAAAGAAGAATATACTGAGAATTTCACTGATGAGATTATAAATTAGTAAAACTAAAGCAATTGGTCACACAAAGCTTTTGTCCCTTACGAGGCTTAGCTTACAAGCTCAGGCTGTACATTTATTCTTTGAAGGACATCTTCTGGCATACAAAAGACAGGATTGACGGCCTTAATTTGTTCTTCTCCTAATAAAGATAGTCCAGCAATACCAAATAAGGTGTGAAATGGATCCACCTGGAAGAAAAAAGAAAGCTTGTGTCTGTTTCCAAAAGTCAACTGGTTTTTCACTTTTATGGAATGAAATTTTCATTTGCCAGCAAGGGAACGGAAAATCTCCACGGCTTCTCTGGGGAAGACAATACAACTGAATAAATTTTCATTTATGCTAACATGTGTTGACAGGCAAGAAATTTCCATAGCAGGCATTTACAATACTATGATTTACTCAAGAATGCTTATCAATTATCTGCTGCTAAGACGATTTTCAACTCTGAGTTAGACAGAAAGCACTCACATTTGTCTATTAGCATGCAATATCACAGGGTGGTAGAAGCAAAAATAATTAACATTTTAAAAGTAAACTGCATTATCTACAGGTACCACTTCCATAAATTCCCCATTTGTTCTTCAGAAACATCATAATGCTCTATATTGGTCTCCAAATACAGAGCTGTGCTGTAAAACCTTGAGAGGGAAGCAGCAACATATTTTGCTAGAAAACCTCCCAGAACTATAAATAAAAACAAACCCCAGCCCCCCCCCCAAAAAATCTATTCCTAAAACTACACAACCACCACCCCCTCTCCCCCCTACAAAACAAACAAATGAAAAAACAACCCAAACACAAAATACCCCCAAACAACAAGGTCAGTTAGGACTGTGCTTCTGCAGGGATAAAGCAAAAACCTGGAAGTCAACATTTCTACAGGAGTAGAAATTTCTACACTTCAGCAAAGACAGGTAAAACTAATATTAAATGACTGCTACTGTAACATAGGAAAGCTGTCCCAAAGATGTTCTCCTTAGATATAGAGAAAAGGCTCTTCAGAGCTGCTCTTCCAAGAAGACACAAATATTTCATTACTCAAAGCTAGAAAAGCATTTAGATGTCAAGTTGTGGGCTTTTCTTCAAGAATTCTGAAAAGGGAAAAGGTCTTCCTGTAAGGTCCTTAGAAATACAAAACTCTTCCTATTTTAAGAACACAAAAACACTTTCCAAATGACAGATCAGAGTTAACAGATTTCTCCCCCAACTGGGAATAAAGTAGCTGCTTGCAAAAAAATTAAAAGTTACTTTATTTTTTAATGCATTTGTGGAGAAAGGAGCAAACACGGGCAGCTGCAATAAAAACAGCTAATCCTTTCCAGCTAGCCTTTCCAGACCATTAACAAATAAGCCAAGTGTTCAACAGGAATGCAGTCTTACATTACTTTTATTTTATCTGTCCAGCACTCTTGAAAGATAAAAACTTTATTTGCCATTTCACTGGGACAATATCAATTACTTCCACTTGAAACCAAAGAGAACAGACCAGCTAAATCGTAACTGCTCTCTCAACAAGCAAAAAATCCATAGCACCAGCCCCTTAACGTTGTTATCACAAAAGTTTCTTCCTCTTTCAGCTAGACAAATGTCAGCTACAAGATTTATTCAGTGGCTGGGCTAGCAAAGAATGAAAGTCAGTGTATAGGGATTCTTATTAAAAACTCATTATTTAATTAGATCAGACAAAACCACCAAGAGAGTTGAAGACTATTTAACCAGACTTTAACTTGAAGATCATTTCACAAAACAAAATAATACACCCAAAGAACTCACACATGCACCAGAAAACCCACCACGAAACAGAGCGTTTTTAAACAGATCTTCCAAATGGTCTTGTGAGAAATGGTTTGTGTTGCGTGTGTTATGGGGGATCAAACCAGATTTTGTAAGGAATGGCAACTGACTTCACTGGGGGATACATGTGCGTTATAAGGAATGCGCTCCACAAGAATGCCTTCAATGGCAATTCTACACTCTTCTTCCTTCAGAGTAAACTGCAGCCTTTGCAAAACCCACTCAAAAAAAAGTTGAAATTTCCAGTTGAAATTTTCATGTGTATTTTATTTTGAAAAAATATCACTTACCATATCTCCCGGTCTGTCAGCAAATCCTCCAGTCTCCTCATCCTGGCACGCCAAAATAAAGCAGCGCAGTTTCTCTCTGTCAATCCACTGTATTCTACCAATCATCTTCAAAG